TACTATGATGTCAGGACATTGGGACCTCCTGGTGAAAAAATAGTTCTTCCCCTAAAACCACATATTGTTGTTTTAACATTTGTGGCATCTACTTCATGTTTTCATCATTTTACAAGAGTGTCAAACAACAGGCCGTTTCCCCGAATATTCTACGGGTTCCTTTAACCCAGTACTTCTCAAATAGTGGGGCGCGCCCAGGGGCCTGACAGGCAGGGGTGACTGACGGAGGAGGAGAGATGGAGAAGTTTCTGACAGGAGTAAAAAGAAAAACGGAGGAGGCGTCAGAGGCAAGAACGGCAAGTGACGGTAACCGGCATAAACTTCATGAGAGCAGGAAATACGATGGAGCCTACACAGCCTTTGGGTTTACCGTGAATACGGTCGGAAATGACAGCACGAAACCAAACAAATTAAGATGGCACCTGGAGACCTTCAGTCAATAAGCCACTGGACTTTTTTCTTCGAAAGCTCGATGAGTATCGCCAACAGGCCGGTCATTTTGTGAGCGCGGCATCATTAGCAGCATTGGACATGGTCACAGTCATAGGTAAGAAAAGTGTTGAGACACTGAATGCTGTCTCTCTTTCCATTGACACAATCGGGAGACGTATATTTGACATTTCAGACGACCTCCAAGAACAACTCACAGAACATCTAACAGACAAACGTTAAATTTAAGTAATATTGTTGCAAATTTTGCACAAAAAAAACCAAATGTTAAAAAGTCATATACCTTTTTGAAAAGGATTAAGCTGATGAAGCTGACAAGTGACCAATATTTACAGTTAAAAATGTTTTGAATGTTACTGTGTTAAGTCTATAAAAATGCACATCCCAGTGAATCATTTGTTCTTTTTTCTCTGTTTTGAGAATCACACAGACTGAGCAGTCTTAAATGTTACAAATTGAGTTAATAAACTGAACTTGGAAATTGTTTTTAGTTGTTGCAGATGTTATCTCAGCTCATTTTATTAATCTATTTTGATAATCAGGTGATTGTATGCAGAATGCTGGTGTCAGCAACTCATACAGTGGTTTGTACAAATAAATATTATCAGGTTCTCAATATTATTCCAATTCAGGGGGGCGTGAAAAAATTTCTGTCCCCTAGGGGGGGCATGACAGAAAATAATTGAGAACCATTGCTTTAACCCAAGTCTGAAACCTAAAGTAAACTAGTGAAGAAGTGAAAATGTCCTCACCAGAATATGCCAAAAATGTCCTCATTCTGAAAGTCTACAATTCAAACTGCTTCTCACAAGGACAGAGCTTCACACACACACAAACACACACTCACAGAAACAGCTCTGTCTTGACCACTGACCCCAAGCACCCTGCTAAAGTTTACTCTAGCTGCAGTAACACCCCCCTGTGCACACAGAAATATATCAATGGGACTTCACATGAGTGAGAACGTGTGGAAAAATCCACCACGGAATATTAACCTATGGCGAGTCAACGTGCTCCTAGTCTATTCTTAGCTGTCCAACAAAACCACAAAAAGCACCCCCCCCCCCACCTATACACTTAAAAGGTGTGCGGTGATAAATGGCCAATAGAGAAAAGGAGATGAATAGAGAGAATGTGAGAAAGTGGGAGACGTAAGCTGGAGACAGCAAAGGACAGAAGAGGCAGAGCAGAGGGAATAACAGTTGGAGGTGTGAGGAGAAAGGCAGGCAGTAAGTGATAGATAGTGAGGAGGACAGTGATGGGAGAACAGAAGAGGAGCAGACTATCCAATCCGTCACTGTGATAGCATCACCTCCAGCAGTGTCCTCCTGTCTTCCCTCCAGCTGCTGCACCACACTGCTGATAGACCGCGCTCACACACAACACGCACACAAAATATATACATACAGGCTTCCAAAATGTCCATTTAGGGAAAAAGTGTTTTTTCATCATGTAGCCCATAAACTACACACAGTGTAGACTTTTCATCTTTGCCGACCCTTTATAGAGCATTACGTTGGAGAATTGATTTCCTACCTTCAAGGCGCCCATTGGTTTCAGTTCACTTGCTCGAGATAGGTAATCCATCACATAGAACATTAGGTCGCCTTGCTTTTTGTCAGAATTACATTATCAATGCAAGCAGGGACTGTTTTGAAAACTCTCATCATTGATGCGTTCAAGGACACTTGGAGGTCTATGCCAAACAGCACTGTTTTTTACAGGTCCAGTGTGTAGATTTCAGTGGCATCTAGCAGTGAAGTTGCAACCATTTGAATACAACTTCCCCCTTCCAAGCATGTAGGAGAAACTATGGTGTTGTTATTTCTGGGCTACTGTAGAAACATGGATGCTTAACATGGTGGACTCTGCTGGAGGACCCGCTCCCTCTGTAGATAAAAACAGCTCATTCTAAGGTAACAAAAACCCAACAATTCTTATTTTCAGGTGATTATACACTAACATATATAAAATATATAAACATAGCTATAAATATTATATTCCATTTCTGACAATAGATCCTTCTAAATGTTACACACTGGACCTCTAAAAGACAAACGACAGTTTATTAAGGCGTTTTATTTCTGTAAGCTCGTAGTTTGAGCTTTTGGTAGTTCTGTTGTAATAGCATTGTACTCACCAAAGTAAGTGCTGAGATGCGGCAACATTGCTAAAAATGTCCAATTGGTCAACAATTACAAGCAGTCGGACGTGGGAAAACATAATCCCAGGTAGTCAAATTTATCTGGAAGGGAAAATAAGGTGAATGGTAAAATTACAACCCAAACTGTCCATTGTAAAGATCACTGGCAGACTTTCTGCTTAAAGGACTACCAAACTTGTAGCAGTTGCAACCAGGCTGACTCTCTGACCACTCGTGTTTGTAACCCATTTGGACCTTTTTATAATAATGCAACTGCATTCCAAGAATTATAATGAATAAGACCAGAGAAAGGAAAACCCAAGTTATAATGAATCATATATCTCCTTTAGAACCCCTATATGTATATGATTTGAACATTTCTGACTTTGGTTACTCTTGGGTGACATGAGCTAATTTAGTGCTGTCGAGATGCGATTTATACTGTATTAAGGACACTATATTGTCTATATTGTTTTTGCATGCAAATGATTGTTTATGTCCTGGGAAAATATGTTTCCACAGCTCCCCGGCTGTATTCAGACCAAATCAGATGTTGGCGAGGGTATGTTTATTTGTGCTTTATAACATAACTGTTGTGAAACAAAAGGGAAATTGTTTATTTCTCTCATTCACTGGTCGCTCGACCATTGCTGTCTCTCAAACAACTGGACAAGCACCAAAGGAAGCTTCTTGGTTTCACTGTTTTGTATCACTGCAACATCGAAAATGGGTACACGGAATAAACCAAGAGAGGACACAACTTGGAGAGTATCATAGTCAACAAAACTCTGGTATCAGTGATAATTCAGGCTGACAGTGGAGCAGTTTGACCAATCTAATCACTACACTGACCACTGCAGCATGATGTTTGCGTTTCTGTCTCAGGTTGCTGCATTTACCTTCCAGCATCCCCTGCAGCCCCCACAGCCTAAATGGACAACCCCAATATCAAAATGAAAGAGAGAAGCTGTGTTTTTGTCACAAAACTGGATTTGGTCTGAATCGGCCCTAAGTGTGACTAATAGCAATCCTTGCCAATACTGTACCTCCACCTCCCTACTCTGAGAAATCCCAATCGTCAATGGGATTGTCTCATTGGTCAATTGTCTCATCAAAAAAACTTAAAACAAAGCTCTAATGACAAAGAAATTCTACACATAGAGTGGCTTTGGGGTTCAGAGACACAATAAGCCTTATCCTTTTTTACAACATTTGCTCAAATTTGAGTTCCTTACAATATATTTTATGAATGCAATCCTTTTTTGGCAGCCATGTATAAATTGATTTGGCTGCCAAAAAGCTTCTTTTTAGCCTTAAAACTAATGACTGCCTGCAAGGTAGGAAATCATCCTGAATCGTATCATATGCTTTGGAGGGTGGTCATCAGTAATGAACATAAAATACACAAATTCTGTAGTTAATGGACTTAAATGTGTGAAACCACCAGGATTACTTTTAAGAATTTTGATCAAATATGATTAATCAATAGCGCTGATGGGACTTTCTACCCACATTTGGATTTGCAAACGTGTTAATATGGGCATCTTTTTACTTTAAAACCTTGCCTGGTGCAGCTTTGATAGGAACCATTAACAGAGAGTGTCCTGCTAGCTCAGCAGGCTAAGACCTCTGTCACCGTCTCCATCCTCCCTCTGTCTCTCCTCACTGTAAACGGCCCAATAAAGCAGAAAAACCATTAAAACTGCAACCCATAATATGCTTTAATTTCATGCTGGCAATCATGTAGTTATAGCAGGTGTCATGTTCTTAGATGGCTGCCATCTCGTGAACCCCTTTATATCTAAATTGTGAAACAGTAAATGAAGTGAGGCTTCGCTGGCTGGAACAGACACTGACAGTACAATAATAATCCTGCTATTCATGGACACAAGTGAGGAGTACTACCTGCTGATGTTAAACACCTCATTTTAGTAGTTTGTTCTTTCCTCTCCGTCCTTCAGAGAGGTAAGTTGTTAGACTTCAGCAAAACCTCGTCCTCTCTTGCCCCTTGTTGTCTGTTCTCATTCCTCAAAGACTGAAGACGGCTTTGTTGCCTCAGGCCTGTAAAGTTCCCTGACTAGCGGACAGGAGATGGACGGCCATTATGCTAATGCTGTCCCCTTGAGTTTCCGTGCAGTGGTGAATTTGGAAGGGGGACACTAAGAATGCTGTCACTTCCAGGCTGACATTCAGGCATTGACGCACACGTCACAGTCAGCAGAGACTGAGCAACAATCCACCTTTAGGAATGGGGAGGCTAAAACATGCTAAACTAAACTGGGGTCAGTGCCTCTGAGGCCTGGCTGGGCTCTTCGCCACTGGGCGAAGAGGAGAGTACAAGTAGGAACAGATGAGGGTCAAGAGAGACAGACAGAGATACATAAAGAGAGAGCAGTTAGCCTCCTACCTGTGTGGGGTTGTAGAGCTCCTGCAGGGCGTTGCGGGACCCTTTCCTACTCCAGCCGTCCACCACGAAGGGGTTCCTCCGCATGACTGGAAAAAAAAACAGAGGAGACACCACTGAGAACTGAGGACCTTTCAAAGTAACCAGCCCAATCGAAACAGAGTAACAAGGAGGACAAACTAGATCAGAGGGATCAGTTACAACCTTTCTCACTCAGGAACACTGACCCTCACGCTCAAAAATACTGACTGGGCTGATCAACTTTCACCAGACTTTCATCATCAGCGGGGGACTGCTTGGTATCGATTTACAATAAATCCAAACAACAAGCAGAAAAACATCAAACATGTCTCATGGTGATGTTAATGTTAATCTGTGACATTCTGTAACAGTAACACAAGTAGACTTCCTCTTGTAACACAGCACAAGATACATTTGTCAACTGTTCTGGACATTTAAAGTGCATGCCATCCAAGGCCACTCCCTGGACAGGCATAGGTGACATATGGACAAAGATACCAAAGGTGTCCCACCACAGTGGACAGTGGTTTTCATAGATTCTTTCATAGTAGATTTCAGTATCTGTACGCTGAAACAGAACCCTCATATAGCTGCACTGTTCCCCAGCCAACTCTGATTGATGAGGGTTTGTTGCTGAGGAGCCCAAGAAGACTTTTGTTGTTGTTCACTGACGGCGGAAAAAAAGGCTGGTGATCAGAAGTGCTGCAGTGTTGTGATTGATACAAGAGTGAAATCTAACTACTCTTTGTTTTGCTGCGGTCCCCCCTGGACCTCTCCTCAAGGACGTCACTTTGGGAGCCTTCGCTTTTAAACGACCAACTGCTGTGAGAAGGAGGCAGAAAGCTACAGGGATAAATAATGAGAGCAGTGACTATATGCCAAGGGCGAAGCCACAGTTCAGCGTTTGTTTGGCTGGATCTCAGCTCTTTACACAACTCGATACAGAGCAGTAGCTGCTGGCAGCGGCTCAGTGGGAGCAGCCAGCGCAACACCCCGCCCCCGCCAACACACTCTCTCCAATTACTCTGGATGGAAAAGCGCTGAAGGACGGCTCAGGATCGACAGGAAAGAAAACGAAGCGCTAACGAGAAAAGCAAGGATTTGATGGCAGTTTATTCCACACGTCATCTGCCTCATGTTCATGGATGAACATGTGTTACTGCCATCAGGAAGCTGATGATGAGAATAACAAATGCTGCACATTCACACTGGATACATCTCCATCACTAAACCTCACCAGCAATGCATGTTTGTCACTGACGAGATTATGTAACGGTGTGAACGACAACTTACACTTTTTTATACTTGTTGGTACACTGTTGTATGTATTTCGATCTGTAACCTCACTTTTTTGAGCAGTTCAGGACCAATTACTCAAAAATATGATGAGCAGATGAAGAGAAAATAATTAACTAACAGTTTTTAATTAAATAAATTGTGAAATAACAAATGTTCTGGCCATTCTACCTTCTTCAAATGTGAAGATTTGCTATTTTTAAGTTGAGTATCTTTGGTTTCTGGACTGTCGGTCGGACAAAACAAGTCATTTAAAAGATGTTGGGCACCTGGTTAGCTCAGTGGGTAGAGCTGGCAACCCATGTTCCGAGGCTGAGCCCTTGCTGCAGCAGCCCAGGGTTTGAGTCCGACCTGCGGCCCTTTGCTGCGTGTCATCACCTCTCTCTCTGCCCCCATTTCCTGGCTGTCTCTATCAATTAAAAGCAAAAAAGTCCCCCCAAAAAAAATACTATAATTTCATCTTGGATAATTTTCACAATTTTCATGGCTACAAGTTTAGAACCCAAACATTCCTGTTTTACTCTGGCTCTCAATGGGGATTTTAGAGGAATTTTATTGAAAGAAATGCTTTATTAAGAAACACAGCCAAGTATGAAAAATCCAAATGATTAAAAAAAGTATTGAATGGGCCTCTGGGGTTAAAGTGCCAACCATGAACGTCACTTGGTTTAAAACTAAAATCCTGGTTGCAGCCCTACTTCTAAATTACACATAATTATTGTATTTTATTTACATAAGAAATATTTATATATTTTTTTACTAAACGAGTCAGGGGCCGTCAGGGGCCACCTGCATAATGTTGCTGAAAGACACCAAAAACAACCAGAAAGAGACGCAAAACTGTTTTGTTTGTCTGTCAGTGTGGATGGAGGGTGTCTGTGCCCAGGGGCATCACTGTCTAATAAACCGTCCATGATACAGCATCTGTAGCTAATATACACATTTGCAGAAGTGGACATAGTTGTGTTTATATGTTTACTTCAGTTTGCAGTGTGCAATGGGAGCAGTACAGGACGCACATTTGCACATCTGCTGTGTAAAGCTTTTAATGTCAAAATCCACATTTGGTCCTCTACACACCTGCTCGTGTGCTGAACTGAAAATTTACAAATCTGTAGACTACAAACATGAAAATCTGTCTCTGCTTTCTAGCCAGGACACGCTCAGTATCGGCATAATGAGAATGTTGTCAATGACTGTCAGTATTTTCATCCTTTATATCCTATTTTCTCCGCTCCAGCAGCGGCCAGATATCCCTCCAAACATCAATAAGGGTTCGTCCGCTCTTACTCTCATCCCACACGTCAGAGGAACATCAAAGCGGAGAAGAGGATTCACATTTCTCAGCAGGCTGTTGATTTAAAGAAAAAAAAAATCCTGGTTAAAAATTGAAGAATGGAGTGTGCTGAGGTTGGTTGATACACCCTGTATTTGAACTGTAATCCCTCTGTTGGCCCAAACCAGATCCATTGACGGAGCCCTGGGGAGCGAGCTGAGCGCTTGTTAGTGTAACGAGCCCCAACATGCAGCCGTGACCTTCAAACACCGAGGGGAGGACAGAGAGAGGCGAGGGATGCCTCTACACCCTCAAAACACACACACACACACACACACACACACACACACACACACACACACACACACACACACATATGCAGGATTCATCATGCACACACACACAAACATAGAGCATGATTGATAACCTTGTTGCTAAGCTAGTCTTTAATGATGCAGTTTGCTCCTTCCTACTGTGGACGACGTAAACAAGCAATTACAGCTTTCTCAGAGGACGAGAGTTTTCGGTGCAATAATGCAATCATGGAATATTTGCTTTTTAGGCTGGCTCACACACAGGCCAGCACAAACACAACGCCTGCACACACGCACACACTTCCACTCCCGGCAGGCTGAATCAGCAGAGCAGCGGTGATTACTGATTGCTGTGGACACAGGCCCGAGGTGGAGCTCGAGGTAATGAGGATTCAGGCCTGGCACGAGTGTGTGTGATTGTGCCGCGTGGCACTGATGGGTCATGGAGCGGTGGTGATATTTATCTGCTAGCACCAGTGGGCCTGCTGCTAATGACGACGGATGCCAAAATAAATCAGGTTGAAAGCTTGTCTGTGCTGAGTGTGAAGACCAACAGATTCAATACCGTCATCTGTCCTTCCCATGAGGGACGGTCAAGTGAGGCTCAGTGCAGTGAAAAAGGATGCTTAACTGAACCAGGTTGTAGCCATCATTACTCAGTAGTAGTATACTGAAATCCCAAGAAACAATGACTCCTTTAAATAATTACTCAAGTAAAAACCATTACTCAAAAACACTGTTTAGATTTTTGTGTTAAAACCCCCAACCCGCAAGATGTTACACATCCCACTGTTGGTTGAAAACCAGGTTATATGCTGAAAATAGGGTCATCAACAAAAACACATTAATATACATTCATGAATGTGGCACAAGAAGTGCCGGAAACGTATGAAAGACAGGTTTACACTTTGTTTATTGAAGCAACAAGAAGTTATGAAGCATTTCGGAGCTAACATCACATAGCTGCAGGGCCTTCACAGTAAATGCCCTTCAGCGACGCCTCCTCACTTCATGCCTCGCACATTCCAAGTGACTGAAAAGCTTTTATTGTGAAGGAGCGCTGGAAGCATACAATTTAGCCTCGAATTCATTGCTTGTTTTTTTTTTTGTTTTTTTTTAAATCAAAGGATCAGTTTGAGAAATGTAACCTTACAGCTCTGAAATATAACAGGCAGTTAGCATTGACAAATAGCTTTATGAAGCTTTTTATATTCCTCTTAGCCTTTATTCTTTGTATTTACTGTGGAAGATTCATTTCAAAAGCATTACAAATACAATATGCCATGCAGCCCTGATCCAAAGCAGCAACTGTTTTAATTGCCTGCCTTCCTCTGAGGGTCAAAGTTCAACAATTTTGTCCATCTCAATTGGAAGCGACTGTTTTCTTTATCCTTCTCAGTGTTTTCAACCAATTTCAAAGAGAAACCAGTTGCTGTGTAGGTTTATGCCGGTGAGAAAAGAGAAAAGCTCATCTTTCTAAATCCCTTTGTCCTCGGATGGTGCACAACTCCCCCCCACATACTTACACACACACACACCGATATAAGAGTAATTTAAATCCATCCACACAGGCCTTATCGCTGTGCTCTGCTCTGATGCCTCCAGGTATGAACACAAACACACACATCATACACGCAGAACAGCAAGCAGACACAGACTGAACTGTTTAATCTGTCAGTAATCCTGTCTCCTGCCTTAGACTGACTGTTCATCCCACACACACACACACACACACACACACTGAAGGCACTGGGACCTGTAGGACGAAGCTGAAAACCAGCTCACAGAGCCTGGTGCGTAACCAGTGTACGCCCACCCAGTCAACGGGAACATAAGGTCACCCGTAGTCCCCCGCCAACACCTGGCTCATTGGTTGGTGGGAACTGAGCCGTTACCATGGAAACCGCTACCCTTCACCATCCTCTCACCTGCACCGGCTGGCTGGATTCCTCTCAGGGCCGGAATCAGGTAAGGTCATGGGAAAGTAAAACCTTTTCATTTCCTCAGTGCTGACAGGTATTGACTGTGCACTACTGCAAAGTACACACACACACACACACACACACACACACACACACACACACATGATGATGTGGTAATAGACTCAAGTATTACAATAAATATGAGGCCAATGTTATGGACTGTCAGCTTTGAAAGTTATACTTATATTCATTCTTGTGAA